AGGGCACCAACCAAAAACTACTGCGTAGAATTAATTGGAATTTTTCACACACAAGCCTTGCTATATGAGCTCTCAAAGCATATAAAAATTATACGGCTTAAATGTGAAGTTGGGTGCAAAAGAATACAATTAAATCCTCTGCCGGGAAAAAACGAAATGACTCTCCGAACAACCCTATATTTTTTTGTACCCCTGACAATATGTTTACAAAATTTCATGACAATCAGTTGAGTAGTTAAGGCGTGAAAAGCCGACAAACAAACAAATAAACAAATTCACATTTGTTTATCATATTTATGAGTTAGGATTTCAAATTAATGGAATTTTGACTTTACTTCTCTTATCTTTACGGTTGTGAACAATAAACTCAGGTAGTTTATAGCCAACTCCCTATAAAATTGACGTAGGTATTAACCGCTTTCCTTAATAAGTGACGTGAACGTTGACAATGCGGGTAAAATAACAGAATTAATGGTTGCATGTCGAGATACCTTCAATTATGAGACTTAATTAACTACAATTGTATTTCGTAACTGTGGATCCAACACATCCCGTGTAGGTTGAATGACAAACATTTATTACGCAAATAGCGAAAAGGGAACACCTCCCACATTTATTTTAATCGATACCGACTAAGTAGAGGTTCCCATTATAAACGGAAACATTTGTTGGTACAATATGTCTCTATATAAAGATAATCTGATAACTGCTTCGAAACACAAATGATTATTATTTATCATTGAAGTGAGGATGTAATATGTATCTGTTAATATCGTATCTATACGATTTCCACCTCATTACCGATAAGTGCTTATCCAAAAACAAAAATTGTTTATGTTATTAACAGAATTTTATTTTTAAACGCTATACACCGGGTGTTCCACCGGACGATGGACTAACATGGGTATTTAGCGATGGGCATAATTGGTTTTGGTTTTGCGAAAATGCAAGAACAAGATCAAGACTGTCTTTATACTAGCAAAGTCAAGATCAAGACCGAACGAACAAGACGAAGACTAAAACCAAGACCGAACGAACAAGGCCAATACTAAAATCAACACTAAATATGTAAGACCTAAACCAAATGCAGAGACTAAGACTAAACGAAGAATTATTACATCCTGTGGATTTATGAGTTAAACTATTTGAAGCAACATTAATCTATTCTTTTTTGAAACAAAACATTTTTAGTATTTGAAATTTTCAGTTTTTGCTTTATTAAATTTTAACACAATATATAAAAAATGAAACTTTTACCACTCTGAAAAAAGGGATCTACAAGAATGCCCCTCGGAGTGAGTGTTCTTTGTTCCTATATCTGAATAACACATGGTTGAAATGTAAAAACAAACTAATTTTTTTCGATTTTTTACTTCTTTCAAGTACCTTGTTAAAGGTCTATGTTTGGAACACAGCGCTGTACGGGTGCGAAACATGGCCAGCGGGCGCGGCGGAAAAGAATAGGTTAGAAGCGTTCGAAATGTGGTGTTACAGGCGAACGATGAAGATTCCGTGGATAGAAGAGGTTAGAAATGAAGAGGTATTAGAAAGAGTAAGAGAACAGAGGACCCTATGGATGTCAATAAGAAATAGGCGAGTTAGGTTAGTAGAACACGTTCTCAGGCATGAAGGTCTAGTCAGAGACATATTAGAGGCAGAAGCAGGAGTTAGGAGGGAAAGAGGTAGACCTAGGTTAGATTACTGTTCACAAATAGTTAAGGATGTGAGATGTTCTAGTTTTATGGAAATGCGAAGATTAGCTCAGGATAGGAAAGAGTGGAGGTGCGTGTCCAACCAGTCGTAGGACTGACGACCTTATGATGATGACAAATACCTTGTACTGTTTTGGTTGTTAAAGGATCAATTTATTCTTTGAAGGTAGGGTGAAAAATAAGTTCTCAAGTTTCATAATTCTCACAACTATCGGCACTATTTTATTTAAAATTCCAGCATTTAAGACAACTGCTGTGTCGGTAGGTAAGTAGAAAAGTTGTGCTTATAGAAGTCCAAACCCAAGTCCCAGACTACATCAGTAAGACTAAGACCAAGACCGATACTATATCAGCAATAACCAAAATGAAGACCAATACTCGAAGTATTTGAGCAAGACCAAGACCAATACCGAATAAAAAACGCCAAAACTGTCTTTGAGCAAGACCAAGGTCAATTCTAATACTGGGACAGTCTTGGTCTTGGTCTTACTTTGCTCGTCACTAGTAATTTTGTTAACAGTGGAGTTAAAAGAATCGAAAATATCTACTAGTTGTTTCCTTAAAAATTGACAGTTTCCTGTTGTAATTTTAAGTTTTCTCTTATCGATATGTGAAAATCAAAAATCTTATCCATATTCGCCATATTATGCTGTATCATTTCGAAAAAAGTTGGTATGAATAGTCATAGGTATAGTCATTTGGCAATCTCAACGGGCCTTTTGGTGGTGTAATAATCAGTACTTATAAGCCAACTCGAATGATTGTTCAAGAAGTTCAAATGTGCCGATTCCCATGTAGGAACCGCCAGAGTTGAATGACGGGGCCTAGCCTGCTACAGTACTGGGGAGCCCTGCTTTGGCGCCCCGATATTGGCCCGTGCTTGAGCCAAGACAGAATAATTAGCATTGGCCGACCCAACGATTACCCGAGCCTGGGCCAAGGTTGGGTGCCCAGCCTTGGCCAATCCAATGATTACCCCAGCCTGGGCCAACATTGGTCTGCCATAGAATGGCCAAAGCAGAGGAGCCCAGTCTTGGGCCAAGACTAAACAACCTAGCCTTGGCCAATCCAATGATTACCCAAGTCTGGGCCAAAATTGGTCTGCCATAGAATGGCCAAAGAAGGGGAGCCCAGTCTTGGGCCAAAACTAAACAACCTAGTCTTGGCCAATCCAATGATTACCCAAGTGGGCCAAAATTGGTCTGCCATAGAATGGCCAAAGCAGGGAAGCCCAGTGTAAGACAAGTTGATAAAAAACTTCAAAGATTCGTTATTTTTATCAATTTTATCGAGTTCATGATGGAGTTTTCCACGTTATTAATATTCTGTGATAGAAATTATAACATCATTCAATTTATTATTGATATTGAAGAAGATGAAGACTTGAAGCTTAACTATATCCCAGCCAGTTTGGTAATTTCACTATATGTTGCAGTAAGTACTAGTCAGGTAGATACACAAATCAGGCGTAGGTGCCGTTAGATTTTGGCAGAGAAAGTCAATCCAAGGACTGGTAAGATATGCACCTCCACTTCTTACTATACTTTCAGCTAATCTTCGCACTTCCCCAAAAATAGAACATCTCACCATTTCGGCATGCCTCTAGCTAGCTTTTCATGTCTTAGACGAAGTTCTACAATCCTATTTCCCCTAGTTAGAAACATATTAGAAACAGAATTAGGAGTTACGAAGAGTAAAGGTAGATCTAGACTAGATTACTGTCCAACCAATCTTAAGACTGACGACCCTATGATGATGATGATTACATGCGACCTGCTAAGTTATGATTTATTTCTAAAGTGACCCGCAAGATCATATGAGTTGGTCACCTTGCTAGCCCGTTGCTGCTCTGGTACAATCCGTTAATCTAACATAAAGCAGGGTAATCTTTTGTGTCAGCATATTTACGTATCCCAAAATCTGTCCTGTCTTTACTGGTGTACAATAAGTAATGTTAATATATAATATGTTTTGGTTTAACAATTAAGTAATAATATTATAGAGCACACAGGATGATAAAGTTTCAAAGCTGATATTATTCTTCTAAGTCTTTTACGTAACGGAATGGGGACAAAGGAGGGTCAGGCTATTACACATTACAATCTCGTTGCATAGGGGAAGAGGTCAAAAATTGATTAATTTTTTGCGTTACGTAATTAATGGACAGAAACATTTTTTTATACTCAGTGATCGATAATGAAAAAATTTCGATAGCTTCTTTAATCGAGAGGTTCTCATGTATTTTTGAAATTACTTACAACTTTTCTTCTGTTGCATATTGCAATTGCAACTACTGTGAATACTTTTTTATCTTTGGACCCTCCGCCATCTAAAGAACAATGTGATCTTTTTATAAATTTGGAATTAAGTTTTTATACATATATTTTATCTTTCTTTTTCGAAACCTTTTGAAGCAGTAAATGAGCTTAGCAGCTAAACATTTTGCTTTTTTTATACCTACGTGAAGTTCAAATCGATATTTCATATGGTTTATAATTTAGAAATCTTTTCTGCAACAATCGGCTTCCGTTGGACCGTTTTGGCACACAGTTCTAAAAACTGTTAAAAATAGTTCAGGAAAATGAAAAACTTAAAGGCTGCTTTAATCTTGTTTCAATAATGTTTTGAAAAGGAAGCGGTTTTACTTATTCAAACTATTTTTAGTAGATAATTACAAAATTCTAATACATAATCCCCCTTCATTTACGTAGAGATGTATAATTTTCACCCTTTAGTTTTATGTGTTTAGTAATGGAGTTACTACGTCTTTGTTGTACGGAACTTGGAAGTAGTTAATAGTCTCTGCTGATATTCTATTATAGCTTTGACCTTTCGATTACTGATCGTAAATTCAATGTAGGGTTCACAAACCCATTACAAAATAACATCCCAAGTGTTTCACTAAATTGAAATTGACAAACTTCGCAATAACCGTAAAGTGGTTTAAGGAAGTGAGTACCGTAACTTGCAATATTACTATTTTTGGTGTCAATGATTTCAAAAATGAGTGTTGCGATGGATTTCAAATTGAATATGCAAAATATGAAACAAGTACTTCTTAAAGAATAACTACTAATTGTTAAGATGCTGTATAAAATGCATTTAAAATATTTTCTAGATTGTTTTAATATATAATAATTAAATAACTTACCGACGAAACCTTCACCGCTTACATCCGGAAGAAGAGTTCCTACAACAAGAATCCAGACGAAACACAGGGCAAACTGTGGCCCTGGCATGGCCTGAAAGAAATATGTAAATTAATCCAAACAGATTAATTATGTATACGTAACTGCAAATACATTATTTAATAAAAAAATGCTCATTAAGAAAGTTAGGAATATTATCCACGTTTTAGAAAATTCCACAAATGGCGCGGTAAACGTCACCTGTAGTACGATGCTACATTTCAGGATTACGTATGCTCCAACAAGGTCCATTTAAATATATGGATATCTACTTGTTGAAATGAATCCCGGCATAGCTAACCTCAACGTGTTGGGCACGTTACCATAATCGAATACAGTAATTCGAAGTGGTCTGTATTCTGTCGAAACTGCCAGACGCGGATCGCGATTTCGATCTTTTTGGATCTCATCAGCGCGTCGAAGACAGCTCCGACAGAACACAGACCAACTGTTACCTGCTGCCTTAACAGCGCGTTTTAGAAAATTCCACAAATGGCGCGGTAAACGCCATCTGTAGTACGATGCTACATTTTAGGATTACGTATGCTCCAACAAGGTCCATTTAAATATATGGATATCTACTTGTTGAAACGACGCGCCGATGAGATCCAAAAAGATCGAAATCGCGATCCGCGTCTGGCAGTTTCGACAGAATACAGACTACTTCGAATTATTATATTATCCACGTCCTTAAATTAATCATTAAAAGAAATTTTATAAATTGTAAAAGGTTCACTATTCCATGAATGCCTTTTAATTTTTTAACTGAAGAGAGCCCAAAAAATTCTAAACTTCTTGGAAATGGATAGTCTAAAATATTGGATCGATATTGTTTTCCGGATTCAATGCCATGGTCCATGGAATTTTGAAGTTCCAAATTGATATGAGCACCTGCCAAATCACCACTTATCGTGCCTTTAGCAAGGTACTATGAAATTCTATGAATGCAAAACAATATCGAATTGATATAAGGTAGGTGTGTAAAACTGAAAACTACAAAATATTGTGGTGTGCTAATGAATGTGTATAATCCAAAATTCTTAAAAAACGATTTGAAATGAAGCCAATGCTAAAGAAACTATGGATTCCATTTCTTTCTGTTATTACAAGTTAAAGAGTGTTGAGGTGAATTAATTTTACTTGTCACCATTTTCAGTTATTATATAGAGTTAAAACAAAACTAAGTTGGCAGTAATCAAAATGTAACTAGACACTAACTCGAAAACGCAAATTAGGTTGGTAGGACAATGCGGAAAATTTACTGGCGAAAGTTGAAAGTGTGCTCCGATATTTATCCACAAATTGTAAGAAGAAAATTGTCAATCCGACGGAAATTTGTATGAGTTTTTTCTGTGCAAAAACTGGCAAGTTGAATAATACAAAAAAGTATGTTGTGTGATAATCTAAGTGCCATATTTTTGAGTTGAAAATTGTTCACATATCACTCACCAACTTTATTACAGCATTTTGTATTCTCATAAACAAACTTTGTAAACAAATTGAAATTTAATATTGTAAACATTATTGCTAAACTTTTGTAAAACTTTTCTTTGAATTTGTAATTTGTACTTATTTTCATTTCGATTGTCAGGTCCTTTTTGTTCACCTTCGACAATAAAACTACCACTGCCAAATTGGTGTTGTTTTTTTTATTGTCGATCAACTGGGAGATCATCGAAATAACAACAAAGAGAGAAACAAAATGGGGTTGTAAATATTTTAATATAAAATGACTGATGTAGCTTTTACATCAATAAAATTATTTGCAACCCTATTTTGGCTCTGATCTTTCAAGCTATTTTGGCATCAGTGTTTTTTTCTAATTAAAACGGGTGACAAAAAGGCAAATAAGGAAGCATATAGAAGAATTGTTTGTTGTTGAACTGAAGAAACTATAACATAAAAAAAAAAAACTATATCTTAATCACTTCAAACAAAAAATGTTAGTCATACTCAATCTTTGTAGCTGGTGATACAGTGCAAACACCACCGTTAGTCTAGAAAAATTCCAATAAGGTTTTCTTAAAAAATATTTTATACTTAAGTAAATGTAGAAAATCAAATAGGTACTACAAAAAAGTATTTATTTGAAAAAAGTATTTTGAAAATAGGTATTTTACATTTAGCATATAAAATACAAAAGGGAAATCTATTTTGTATTTTACATTTGAAATAACAAATCAAAAAAGTATTTGCATTTTGTATTTAAATGCTTTTAAAAGACCATTTTGCATATCTCTACAGACACGTCTCATGTCTTAAGTCGAACTGCTTTGTAATTTGAGCGCATCGACTTCTATCCTCTGTAGTCGAACTTTATGAATAAAAAGAGCCGAAAGTGGCTTGATTATATAAAACTTGATTTACCTGCTAATCCGGTATATAAATTTNTCCTTCTCTTATTACAATGTGTAAAAGATCAGAAACAAAATGGAGTTGTAAATATTTTGATATAAAATAATTGATGTTGATTTTACATAAATAAAATTATTTGCAACCCTATTTTGGCTCTGATCTTTCACGCTAAACAAACTATTTTGGCATCAGTGTCTTTTTGTCCAATTAAAACGGGTGACAAAGACAAATACGGAAGCATATAGAAGAATTATTTAGAAACCATAACACAAAGATAGAAAAACTATACCTCAATCACTTCAAGCAGAAAAATACAGATCATACTCAATCTACTCATTTTGTATTTTACATTCGAAATAACAAATTAAAAAAAAAGTATTTGCATTTTGTATTTAAATATTTTTAGAAAACCGTTTTGCAAATTTGAATTTATGACTGCCTGCAGGAAACGCCGACATTTTAGCTAGAGACAGATCTATAAGCAGTAACAGAGTATGAAAGGTCACGGGAGGACCTAGTTAGATCACTGTTTGGAAATAGTTAGGGATGCGGAATGTTCAAGTTTTAGAGAAGAAAACAAATAGTTTTTTGACGTGACAACGTCTTATAATTCGATGGAGCCGGCTGCACGCACGAAGAAACATGACTCATGCGGCGTTACCTCGCTCTGAGGCGTTCCATTTAAGGCTTGAAGTGCAAGCGAGAGCGCGGAACGAGCGACAAAGAGGCACAATCGGCCTCCGCGTTCGGCAGCGTTCGACATCTGTCTCTCTCCTACTTGAGTGAGCGATGCGTCCGCGTGGACAGCTGCTATACAATAATACATTTCCATTTACCTCCTTCTCTATATCCATACAAAATATCTATCAAACAAATAAAATTAAAATTTTCTTTTGAAAAATGAAACCATTCCATCAGTATTTTCTTATGACGTTGTCACGTTCAACTATCGTCAGTAAACCGACTTTACAGACAACCGATTTTTTTTTAAAGATATATTCTTCTGAATGCATAAATAACATACACACGAATGCGTACACTAGTAAAATAATGAATTTCTTCGAAATCATTTGATTAAATTAGAAAGCTGGAATATTAATCGGTTAGTCGACCAAATTAATGCCTCCTGGAAGGAAATTACAGGACACACCACTAAGATACTTTAACGTTAATGAGTTATTTGTGTAGCGGCTGTGGGAAACTTAATCAATACGAAGACTAAATTAACTTCTAAGGAAGTAAACAGAGCGAACAGCAACCATTCCGATTTTTGGTGCTGACGTCATAAAAACAAAAAAATTCAGAAAGACCCGATGTCGGAATCTTTCATGATAAATGACAGTTTACACTTCAATATCAAATAAGAGAGAATACTTAGATAAAGATCTTTTACATGAAGTAAATAAAGAAAAGTAAAAATGAAACTTTTATAAATTTGTTCATGTATTTGTCCCAAGGTTACGGTTAAAATGTAAATGCACTATCGTCACGATAACCATTGGACTAATTCAACTACTTATATTTGTTGTTTTTTTAATTCATTTAAACGAGTTGTTACATTCTTGTACAACAAAAAAATTACCAAGAAAACAACGCCAACATAAAAAGTAACATTTGTACATTTATTTTAACAAAGTAAACAAGGACTTTATTACAGAATCCTTAATTAAGTAGATTTAGCATTATTATCCACTGCGTTCCATAATCTGTAGTCTTGGAACCAATAAATAATACGATATAAATAATTTTTTGAGTATGCATATTTACGAATTTGTCTCTGGTTTTGCAAAGATCTTTTTATCCTCAAAAAAAATTTAGACCTGATTATACTTGACAAGACAGTTTTTTACAGAAAAAAAACAAACAAAATACCTTGATACAAACGTTAAGATTGCAGAACGGAAAGATTAAACTTCCTTTTGATTTGAGTGTAATCGTTATTAATGTAATATTTTGTTTGCAGCAGAGCATACGAAGCATTTTATGTTGAATTTTCTTGATTTCATAAATCAGTACATTTGTGGTCCATTTTGTAGTTGAATATACTTTGATTATTTTTTATATGATCACACAACAATAACACCGAGATCCAATTGCAACTTGTAGAATCCACTTGATTAAATAATTTGACATCGTCCGCGTATATAAGGGTATCTACATAGTTAAGCGATTCAACGAGATCGTTTAAGAAAATAGAAAACAGTATAGGTCCTAGGTGCGATCCCTGTGGTACGCCGGACGTTGCCACAATAAACTGTGATACACACCTTCCCGATCTAATAGCTTGTCTACGATCGATCAAATAAGAATATAACCATTTTAATAATAGCAAAACTTTTAATTCACAGTGTCGAACACCTTAGCAAAATCAATATAAACAGAGTCCTTGTGTTATTTAATGACCTTATACAATAAAATCGTTATATAATTTGAAGGTGCATACACACAGGTGTACCTACGCAAACACTAGTTCCAAATTGCTATTAAGTACATAGATTGGCGATATAAATTCAACGAACGTACGTATTGATTGATAAATGTTTTATTTGCGTAGGTGAATCTTTACGCTTTTGTTGGAAGGAAAGCGAGCAAGCAATTTTCGAACACCTACACATTAGTTGTTAGAAGACCATTTTTCGTGTGTACAACGTGGAGGACATACTATCAACAGGAAATGATTGCGATGTTAGATTTACAAT